GGATCGCCGGAGCCCAGCAGGTCGAGGTTGCAGTGGCCGGGAGCGGTCACTGCACTCCAGCCTGGGCAACAGAGTGACACTTCAACTCAAAAAAGAATAAAAATAAAAAAATAAAAATGCGGGTGCCCAGGTCTGGTTTGCACCACTCCCAGGTGACTTGTCTGCATGTTGAGTTTGAGAAGCACTGCTCTAGCAGGCAGGTAGGCGCAAGATTCTGGTGGAGGCCAGACAGGTAAACAGCCCTGGGGCAGTTTCAGTCACAATGACTCTGTCTCATGGGCCAGACACGCTACATGACTCTTCACCATAAGGTAGGTATTAACCCCATTTTATGGTTCATTGTCTGTGAACTGAGGTTCAGAACTTTTTTTTTTTTTTGAGTTGGAGTCTCACTCTATTGCCCAGGCTGGAGTGCAGTGGCACGTTCATGGCCACTGCAGCCTCGACCTGCTGGGCTCAGACGATCCTTCCGTCTCAGCCCTCCAAGTAGCTGGAACTAAAGGCGTGTGCTGCCATACCCAGCTAATTTTTTGATTGATTGTAGAGATGAGGTCTCACCAAGTTGCCCAGGCTGGTTTGAACCCGTGAGCTCAAGAAATCCTCTCACCTCGGCCTCCCAAAATGGGATTATAGGAGTGAGCCACTGCATCTGGCCTGGTTCAAAACATTTAATTCAGTTGTCCAAGGGCTTGAATTTCCCAGCAAGGTCCTGCCGGTTTTCGTGCTGTCTGGATTCTGTTCTAGAACTAATGTTTCTTCAGGCCAGAGGCTGAGAGCTCCCTGCATTACAAATGTGAACCTAGCCCGTGGCTTTGCTTTCCTGGCTTTGAACCATATTCTTCTGTTTATCAAGAGGCAGTAGATGAAGTCTGAAAGATTCCCATCCCACTGCTGAAGAAATGCAGCACTGAAATCCTGACTTTTAAGAGTCAAGATCCGCCAGGTGCAGTAGCTCACGTCTAATCCCAGCACTTTGGGAGGCAGAGGCGAGGGGATTGCCTGAGCTCATGGGTTTGAGACCAGCCTGGGCAATTTGGTGAGACCTCGTTTCTACAATAAATAAATAAATAAATATAGCCAGGTGTGGTGGCACACACCTGTGGTTCCAGCTACTTGGAATGCTGAGGCCGAAGGACCACCTGAGCCCAGCAGATCGAGGCTGCGCTCCAGCCTGGGCGAGAGTGAGACTCCAACACCAAAAAAAAAAAAAAAAAAAGAATCAGGTGCAGGGGGTTTCTGTTAAAAATTCCCACTGAGAATCTGATAAAAGTAAAAAGAAAGGGTTGGATGTGGTGGCTCACACTTATAATCCCAGCACTTTGGGAGGCCAGGTGAGAGGATTGCTTGAGCCCACAGGTTTGAGACCAGCCTGGGCAACTTGACGAGCCCTCATCTCTACAATAAATGAAAAAAAAAAGTGAAAAGAAGCACACACAGGTACATCATGGTGCAGAGCTTGGAGGGTGCTGAGACTCCTGGAAGCCCACCCATGGGTGCCAGGTTGAAGGACCCCACTTCAGAAGCAGCACCAGGGAGTGCTGGTGAGCGGGGGCATAGTCAAACGCAAGACGACTCTGGTGAGCCAAGTAAGCAGTGCCCCCCTACACCCATCCCTCACCCCGACTGGCCTTCACCCTCCATTCTAGAAAAGTCCTCCAAGCCGGGCTCGGTGCCTCAGCCTGTAATCTCATGCCTTTGGGAGGCTGAGGTGAGTGGATTGCCTGAGCCTGCGGGTTCGAGACCCGCCTGGGCAACTTGGCCAGACCTCATCTCTACAATAAATCAAAAAATTAGCCGGGCGTGGTAGCGCGCACCTGTAGTTCCAGCTATTTGGAAGGCTGAGGCGGAAGGATCGCCGGAGCCCAGCAGGTCGAGGCTGCGGTGGCCAGGAGCAGCCACTGCCCTCCAGCCTGGGCGACAGAGTGAGACTCCAACTCAAAAAAACAAACCAAAAAAAAAGAAAGAAAAGAGGAGGCCAGGCAGAGTCTTCCTCACTCCTGATAACAGCCAGTAGCTGTCCCCTCAGCCTGCACGGTAATAAGCACACTGTTGCTTTAGTTGTTTTGTGCTGATGTAACAGAATACCAGAGACTAGCTGATATGTAAAGAAATGAAGTTTATTTCGCACAGTTCTGGAGGCTGGGAAGTCCCAAGATCAAGGTGCTGGCGGGTTGGTGTCTGGTGATGCTGGGCTGTGCTTCCAAGATGGAGGCTGCATCCTCCAAAGGGGGAGAAGTGCCATGTCCTCGGTGGCAGAAGTGGAAGGGCAAAGCCCTCATGACGCAGTCACCTCCCAATGGCCCCACCTCCTCACAGTTTTGCATTGGGGATTAAGTTTTCGGCACATGAATTTGGGGGGGATACACTGAGACCCTATCACCATTCCTAAAGATCCCAGCTCAGTTGTGCTGAAGCAAACATATATTTCACTAATTTAATTTTATTAATTTAATTTTGAGTGGGAGACTCACTTTGTCACCCAGGCTGGAGTACAGCGGTACACTCACAGCCACCACAGCCTTGACCTGCTGGGCTCAGGTGATCCTTCCACCTCAGCCTTTCAAGTAGCTGGAACTACAAGCCATGCACCACTGCACCCGGCTAATTTTTTAATTTTTGTTGTAGAGACGAGGTCTTGCCACGTTGCCCAGGCTGGTCTCGAACCTGCGGGCTCAGGCAATCCTCTCACCTCTGCCTCCCAAAGTGCTGGGATTACAGGTGTGAGCTACCACGCTCAGCAGCATTTGCTTTTAAAGGCATCTTGAACCAGAGGTTTGTCAAAGGGACTTGGTAAACTTTCTTCCAAAAGCAAGGAAAGCCTGTGTTGGTTAATTATTCAGTAGAAACAGGGCACTTCTAAAATAATCGTTCTCAGTACTTGAAGTGAATTCATGGCAAAGGGTGGGGCAAGTTGCTTCCTCGAGGGGGATTCGGACCACCTCGCGCAGAATGAAGTTGGCGTGAAGTCCCAACTGGAAATAGCTGCCTGAACATTTTGAACCTGTGGCAAGACGGGTGTGGGTGGTACCGCTGCTGGCTGGAGAGGGGAGAACACACCACTTCCATGTTACCTAAGACTGTGTTATCCCTAGTGCAGTCCTGTAATTGTATGTCAAAGTGTAAGCACAGGCGCGATGTCACCAGAGGAAAAAAATCCTGTCAACTCTACAGGAACACAGCCTAGTGAAGATCAAAATTCTAAGGCTTTTAGAAGAAGTGGGAGAAACTGCAAACTCCAGAAACACACTTTCCAGGGAACTTTTCTGAGCACAGTGAACTGGACAAGTGGGTTTACTAGTCGTAGCAAAAGGGTAGGAAGGGCCAGGTGCAGTGGCTCATGTCTGTAATCCCAGTACTTAGGCTGAAGTGGGAGGATGGCTTGAGCCCAGGATTCCAAGACCAGCCTGGGCAACATAGCGAGACCCCATCTCCACAAGTAATAAAAAATTAGCCAGGTGTGGTGGTACATGCCTGTAGCCCAGCTGCTCAGGAGGTTGAGGCAGAAGGATCGCCTGAGCCCAGGAGATCGAGGCTGCAGTGAGGGCTGAATGTGCCATTGCACTCCAGTCTGCGTGACAGAGTCCAACTAAAAAAATAAATTGCTGGGCACGGGGGCTCAAGCCTCTAATCCCAGCACTTTGGGAGGCTGAAGCGAGGACTGCCTGAGCCCAGGGGTTCGAGACCAGCCTGAGCAACTTGGCGAGACTTCGTCTCTACAATAATTGAATTAAAAAAAATTAGCTGGGCTTGGTGCCGCATGCCTGTAGTTCCAGCTACTTGGAAGGCTGGGGCAGAAGGATTACCTGAGCCCAGCAGGTCGAGGCTGCGGTGGCCGTGAGCGTGGTATTGCCCTCCAGCCTGGGCGACAGAGTGAGACTCCAACTCAAAGAAAGAAATAAATAAAAGGGTAGGAAGGAAAGTTCTAGCCCATGCTATGAGACAACACAGACAAGGATTAAGAAAAATCGTGATTTAATGTTTGGTCCACAATCGCCTCAATGTAGCTCTTCCGTATGGAGAAATGCTAATCCTGCCTCATGACTGCAAGGAGAAAAGGCCCTGATCGAGGGGCAGAAGGTTGGTAGCCCTTGCATGCTACAAGTCTAGTGACCACAACCAGGTGGACTTCCCTGCTTCATAAAGTGCTTGAATGTTGCCGTGCCGGGGAGGACTGGGCCTGTGCAGAAGGGAGCTAGAGACAGGAGCTTCTGAGGACCAGCCAGCTCCGGGGGCCTTGGAGAAGGCCCAGCCCTGGAAGCCACAGCAGCCCATAGTCCTGGACCAGCGATCACCCCCACGACCCCCAGTTGCAGGAACAGCAGACTTGACCCAGCCAAGAAGAGGCTGGTGACCTGTGCCGAGTGGGCCACAAGCCCTACACACAAAACACGGGATCTGCTGGGCCATCCTGAAGTCTTGTGGAGTCAGACTGAACTGCAATCCAGAACTTTCTGGGGTGATAGGGTAGCCATTTCTCCCTCCTCCTACTGTGCTTTGACGGGGCCAAGGGGAGCCCAGGTAGGGGCAGGCGTCACTGGTCCGACTCTTGGGCAAGACCCTGCAGAAAACAACAAGCAAATAAGTGTGTACCTGGCATGCGCTGACCCAGGCAAGCCTGGACTACTTGGGGCAGGCACGCGTGAGGCCTTCTTCCTGAAGACTTCTGGACAGTACCTGACAGCCGAGAGTACTCAGGTTGCCCCCAGGCATGGAATCCAGCCCTTTCTGTTGCACAAGGTGAACTGGTGTGTGGACATAGATCTTGTCATAACATCCATGATCGTAACTAACTTGAGATGTTAGAATGAGGCTCAGTTTTTTAGAGTCTGAAGAAAAGTGTGAGCCAGGTGTGGTGGCTCACACCTGTAATCCCAGCACTTTGAGAGGCAGAGGCGAGAGGACTGCCTGAGCCCAGGGGTTTGAGACCAGCCTGGGCAACTTGACGAGATCTCGCCTCTACAATAAATCATAAGATAAGCTGGGTGTGGTGGGCCGCACCTGCAGTTCAGCTACTTAGAAGGCTAAGGTGAAAGAATAGCCTGAGTCCAGTAGGTTGAGGCTGCGGTGGCCATGCTCGTGCCACTGCACTCCAGCCTGGGTGACAGAGTGAGACTCCAACTCAAAAAAACAAAGAGTGAAGTGAATCCTGGTATAGGAGGTTTAAGGATGGAGCAGATGCTGAAAGGAATGTGACTAGGCTGATGGGGTGACAATGTGCCAAAGAGCGCCAACCTTTGCAGAGGGGCCTCCTTGGACGGGCCCAGGGCTCTCGCTCCTGGGACAAGACAGAGGCGCCTGGACCTTCTGCCTGGGAGTTCCGGGGAGGGGGAGTACCTGCTCATAATCTTCCACATATTTGTATTTCTTCTCCCGATAGTAGTATCTTTTCTTCATGCAGTAGAGGACTATGACGTCACACAGCACTGTCGCCTGGATTTAGCACAGGGCAAGAAAGAATGAGCCAGGATGCGCTTAGCCCGTTATTCTGGGATGCCCTTTCCCGTGACGCCTGGAATCTTTCCTGGAAGGGAAAGGCCCTTCTTGGAAGAAGACTGGGCCTGGAGGGACATGGTCCCAGAGGAGATGGAGGGAATGGAGGCCCCGGGGAAGGAGCCCCCAGGGTCAAGTCTAGCGCCCAGGGAAGAGGACCAGGACGCCAACCAAGCCATCTCGCCTCACTGTGCTGATTGCGCTGGGTGGCTGCAGCCCAGTGGGCTGAGGGAAAGGCCGAAACCACTCACCACCCCCAGCAGTGCCAGGCCGGAGCCGATGTTGATCATGGTAGGAATGATGTTAAATTTTCCGGCCTGCAGAGACGGGAGAAAAGGCAAAGGAGTTTCTACAGGGGCAGGGAGAGGCCCCTTGTCCCTGCGGGTTTTGACTGAGCGCTGCTGGAGGCGAGCTACCTTCCCAAACACGATGATGTCGAAGCGGATGCCATAAGCCTTGATGAGTGTGCGGTACTCGCTGCCAGCCGGGTCCTCGTAGTACTTGGCAAACCTGGGGGAAGGAGGAGGGTTAGAGGGGAACGGTATGGGCCAGAGGAGACGAGGGGCTGGATCTCGGGCCCCGAGAGGACGGAAGAGGAGGGCTGGTGCTGGCTAATGGTCACTCTGCCTGCGGAGGAGACCAGAGACACGGGCCACCCAGCAAGGGCACAGGGAGAACTCCCTTCCGGCACCACCATCCCCTCTTGTGACCGTGGAAGCCCGAACCTCTTGCTCCGAACGCCTTCCAAAGACTGGCCTCCCTCCAAGGGGCCTGGTCCCTCATAGTGAGAATGTGGCCCACCAGCATTGCAGGTGTGGGATGGAGCCAGCCCCAAAGCTCATAGCATCAGCCTCGGGCTTTTTTCTTTTTTTAAGAATCATGACTCCATTGGCAGATAAACAGAAAGTGGTCTAGCCACACAACGGATTATTCTTTGGCCATAAAAAGAGATGAGGTACTGACTCATGGATGACCTTGAAAACATGATGCTAAGTAAAAAGCAGTGAAAGAAGCCAGACACAAAAAGCCACACAGTGTATGATTCCATTTATATGAAATGTCCAGAATAGGCCAATCCGCAGAGACAGAAAGCAAGGGCTGGCGGGAGGGAAGAGACTTAATGGGTATACGGTTCCCTCGGGGTGATGGAAATGTTCTAAAATCGACTGTGTTGAAGATTACATTTATTCATGAATACACTAAAAACTATTGAATTCTACATTCCAGATGGGTGAACCTTATGGCATGTGAATTGTACTCAGTAAAGCCATTAAAATATATACACAGCAGGAGACGGTTGGGGAACCACCGAGGCATGCTATTTGCTGCCCCAAGTTCTGTGGGGATCTGCTAAGAGCCTAGGCCTACACCCTAGGTCTATGATCTATCTGCCCACCATTTCCATGCCATGGGCCAGGCCTGGGAAACTCAGGCAGGGCCTGATGCTGGCCAAGTTCAAAGGGATAGGAGTCCTGAAGGTGCTATCAGTTTCTTCTCTGTTCTAGGGTTCTAAGCTTGAGGTGTCCACAGTGGTTTCTACAGAAAATTGTGGCAATAGAAACGGAGCAACATAAATCTAACTGCTAGTAAAAAATCCAAATTTCTGCCCTACTATCAGTGAGCCTGATGGTTAAAATGAAGTTGTTGACTGGGCTCGGTGGCTCAGCCTGTAATCCTAGCACTTTGGGAGGCTGAGGCGAAAGGATTGCCTGAGTCCACGTGTTCGAGACCCACCCGAGCAACTTGGCAAGACCTCCTCTCTACAATAAATCAAAACTTAGCCGGGCGTAATAGCGCGCCTGTAGTTCCAGCTACTTGGAAGGCTGAGGCGGAAGGATCGCCGGAGCCCAGCAGGTCGAAGCTGCGGCGGCCGGGAGTGTGCCACTGCCCTCCAACCTGGGTGACAGAGTGAGACTTCAACTCAAACAAACAAAAAAAAGTAACTAAAAAAATTAAGTTGTTACAGTCCCTATCTATCTAATTCCATGCATCACCACTAGAGGGAGACACGCGCAACACCAAAGCACAGCTGAACCACTCAGTCCCTTGTTTTAAGAGTGGCTACCTGTGTGAAAAATGCAAAAGGGCACGTGGAAATGCATATGGCTACAGATTGTGCTGCCTCAAGGAAGTGGCAGATATGACCCTGGCCCCCAGACCTCTCAGCAGATGACCAGTGCTACTGGGCTGAACCGTGACCCCCAACAAAATTCACATCCACCTGGAACCTGTGAATGTGACCTTATTTGGAAACAGGGTCATAGCAGAGGTAATTAGTTAAGATGAGATCCTAATGGAGTAGGGTGAGCCCTAAATCCAACATGACTAACATCCTCACAGGAAGAGAAGACCCCCAGAGAGGCAGAGGCTGCAGTGATGCATTTACAAGCCAAGGGATGACTCCTTGGGCCCCCAGAGGTGAGAGAGGCAAGGAAGGGTTCTTCCCCAGAGCCTCAGGGTGAGCATGGCCTCTGCTGACACCTGGATTTTCTAAAATTTTTATTTACTTTCTGAGTTGAAGTCTTACTCTGTTGCCCAGGCTGGAGTGCAGTGGCAGGCTCTCGGCCACCACAGCCTCGACCTGCTAGGCTCAAGGTGATCCTTCCACCTCATCTTTCCAAGTAGCTGGAACCACAGGTGTGTACCACCACGCCCAGCTAATTTTTTTTACTTATTGTAGAGGTGAGGTCTCACCAAGTTGCCCAGGCTGGTCTTGAACCCCTGGATTCAGGCAATCCTCTTGCCTCCACCTCCCAAATTGCTGGGATTATGGGCATGAGCCACCGCACCCAGCCAAAACCCAGATTTTAGATCTCCAGCCTCCAGAACTGTGAGAGCATAAAATCCCGTTATCTCAAGCCACCCAGATTGTGTCCTGTTACAGCAGCCCCAGGAAACTGATGCACCAGCATTTTCTGCAGGGAAATACCAGCTAAGGCCTTTCTGGAGCCTAAAACCTGTGCCCCTGCACCCTGAAGATTCCGAGGCAGTCTCAACCTTGGAGAAACCAATTCCTGGGACAAGCCCCAGACACCTTCAGACTGGAGGGTCCACTCCTAAAAACAGTGAGTGGGGTCGTGGCTGAAGCTGGCTTTGGAAACCTAAACCCGCCACCTTTCTTGACTGCTCTAAAAATGATCTCAACATGTTTCTTGTGGCAGGAAAGGACACGAGGGCTCTCATGGGCTGGGGTGCAGTGGAGCCAGATGTCTGAGCACTCTCTCTGGCATAGCCTTCCAGCTTTGGACGGGGGACAGGCAGCCTGCCCTTGGGTTGCTGCCAGAGAGCCGGTCTTTGGCCATGGATGCCCCTACTGGGGAGTAACAAGCCTCTGGCACTCCCAACACGAGTGATAGGGGCCACGCTGACACCCACCTGAAATTGTAGCCTGGAGACACGTTGTGCTCGACGTCCCGGGTATCCAGACGGCGGAAGGAATACCTGGGCAGGCAGTGGGAGGCGGCTCTGTCCAGGTTGCAGGCCCAATTGACTTGGATACCCATGATGCCTCCCTGCGGGTTAGCAGCAGAGACGCAGTGAGGCTTCCATCAGCCCCTGCTCTGGTACGAGATGTGTCCAGGGATGTCTTGGGAAAGCCAGGACTTGCACCTACCTCGACGGCCATGTCCTGGAAGCTGTGTCCTGCGTCCTCCACTATTTTGCCAAGACGGAATATGGGGCAGAAGGGATCTGTCTTGGCGTCATAAATGCACGACTTGAGATAGGTAGTGGTGACATTGGGAAGGATGTTCCTCCTGAAGTCGGGAGGAAGCAGGAAATCAGAGGGAGGAAAACTCAGAGAAGAACAAGAAGTTTCTCCACGACACTGGTCAATTCAGACACACCTGGCCACCACTTACTTGCTGAAATTAAATTTTGGATACCAGATGTTGTTCTTAACCAAAAGAGTGAAGTTTTCTGCAGCCTTTAAAACAGCAGGGCTGAAAAAAATGATCACATATTAATAAGAGGACATGTATACATATACACACCCATATACATACACACTCATACACCTATTTTAATTATTTTAAAATCACAGATCTTACAATGTCATTATATCAAGAAGAAAATGAGGCTGGGTGTGGTGGCTCATGCCTATAATCCTAGTACTTTGGGAGACCAAGGTAAGAGGATCGCCTGAGCCCACAGGTTCGGGATCTGCCTGGGCAACTTGGCAAGACCTCATCTCTACAATAAATAAAAAGATTAGCCAGGCGTGATGGAGTGTGCCTGTAGCTCCAGCTACTTGGAAGGCTGAGGTGGAAGGATTGCCTGAGCCCAACAGGTCGAGGCTGAGGTGGCCGTGAGCGTGCCACTGCACTCCAGCCTGGGCAACAGAGTGAGACTCTGACTCAAAAAAAAAAAAAAAAAAAAAATGAAATGGCTCTAGCATTTTCTACTCTCTTCTGCATAAATACCAGATCAAGGGAAGAGACTAAGCCAAGGCTTCCAGGTTCTTCCTCTTGCAGAAGGGCAGGGCCTTTCCCCCAAGGCAGCTGGAATTGAAAAACCTGAGGAATAGCTAAGGAGGGCGGAGTCTCCTGTGGCTCCCTGGAAATTATTCAGCCTTCGGGGCTGGTCTCACTCAGATGTCCTCAGGGAACAAATGCTGGGCAGATTTGGTTTTACCAGTCAGAGCAAAGGTAAGTTCGCCTATAGGCTGGATCCTGACCTTGTCTGAAAAGCACACAAAGCTCCCGCCAGCCATGCACCTGTCTTGGCTCAGAAGTGCCACGCCAGCTCCTGGCTGACAACACAAGTTGAATCTGTCCCCATGGGGAACTTCATTTCTTGGGCAGATTTCTACGGGAGAATCTGGCACTGTAGGGCTGACCCTTCTGTGGGGAAGGCCTCCCTGATCCAGGTGGCATCTCTGAAGTTACAAACATCAGCGGCCCCCTGTACAACCCTGAGACAGGAGCACGGCCCAGTACAAGGTCACATAGGAGGAGAGCTGAGCCTGCCACTGTTGCCATTTTGACCAAGGTGCTTCCAGGCCTCCCAGTCCCCAATCCCTCTGGAGGGATGGGTCATAAGAGGGCTTTTCTTTTTTTGAGTTGGAGTCTCACTTTGTCGCCCAGACTGGAGTGCAGTGGCTGCTCCCGGCCACTGCAGCCTCGACCTGCTGGGCTCCGCCGATCCTTCCGCTTCAGCCTTCCGAGTAGCTGGAACTACAGGCGAGCGCTACCACACCTGGCTAATTTTTTGATTTATTGTAGAGATGCGGTCTCATCAAGTTGCCCAGGTGGACTCGAACCCGCGGGCTCAGGTAATCCACTCACCTAAGCCTCCCAAGGCGCAGTATTACAGGCTGAGCCACCGAGCCCGGCTAACAGGGCTTTTCAAACTTGTCATTCTGTAGTTTCCTGTACCATAACGTCCCCCACGGTCTGTGTACCTCATATGCAATACTTTAATATCAGCTCACCTTTTAAAAAAACTTGATGTGAAATTCACTGAACATAAAAACAACCATTTTAAAGTGAACAATTCAGTAGTATTTAGTACACCTGCAGTGTTGGACAACCATCACCTCTATCTACTTTGAAACACTTTCATCACCCCAAAGGCAACTGCATTACGATTAGGCATTCGGTTCCCATTCTCCCCTTCCTCCAGCCCCTGGCACCCATTAATCTACTGTGTGTCTTTATGGATTTGCCTGTTTGAGACGTTTCATATGAATGAAATCATATACAGGCTGAGTATCCCTTATCCAAAATGCTTGGTATCAGATGTGTTTCAGATTTCAGATTTTTTTGGATGCTGGAATATTTGCATATACATAACGAGATATCTTGGGAATGGAACCCAAGTCTAAACACGAAATTTATTTATATTTCATATGCACTGTATACACATGACCAGAAGGTGATCTTACACAATACTTTAATAATTTTGTGCCAGGCTCAGTGGCTCAGCCTGTAATCCCAGTGCTTTGGGAGGCTGAGGTGAGTGGATTGCCTGAGCCTGCAGGTTCGCTACCCACCTGGCCAACTTGGCAACACCTCATCTCTACAATAAATCAAAATGAGCCGGGCATGGTAGCGTGCCCCTGTAGTTCCAGCTATTTGGAAGGCTGAGGCGGAAGGATCGCTGGAGCCCAGCAGGTTGAGGCTGCGATGGCCGGGAGCGGCCACTGCACTCCAGTCTGGGTGACAGAGTGAGACTCCAACTCAAAAAACAAAACAAAAAAAATTTTTGTGCGCCTGGCACATGAGGTCAGGTATGTGGCATCCATTAGTGCTCAAAAAGTTTCAGATTCTGGACCATTTCAGATAGTGGATTTTCAGATTAGAGATGCATAGCTCCTAACATGTGGACTTGGTACTTGGTTTTTTTTAAGGTTCATCCATGTTGTAGGAAGTATTAGTGCTTCATTCCTTTTACTGAAGGCTGAGTATTATTCCATCATTTTACATGTGCTTATGTATTTATCCACTGATGGACATTTAAGGTGTCTTTGATACCTTTAAGATCAACTCACTTTTTATTGACATTGATTTTGAAAGGAGACTTTCCATCGTGATCATAAAATTTGCCACAAGGCAGAAGTTATTGCTTAAATAAATATAGTGAAATTGAAACGTTACTAAAAGTTATAGTTAACATTATCAATCTACTCAAGGTGCTGACTCTGGGGCTTGTCCTTTGTAAGAAATGGAGCCGGGCTCGGTGGCTCAGGCTGTAATCCCGCGCCTTTGGGAGGCTGAGGTGAGTGGATTGCCTGAGCCTGCAGGTTCGAGACCCGCCTGGGCAGCAAGACCTCATCTCTACAATAAATCAAAAAATCAGCCGGGCATGATAGCGCGTGCCTGTAATTCCGGCTACTCAGAAGGCCGAGGCGGAAGGATCGCTGGAGCCCAGCAGGCGAGGCTGCAATGGCCGGGAGCGGCCACTGCACTCTAGTCTGGGCGACTGAGTGAGACTCCAACTCAAAAAGAAAAAAAAAAAAGAAATGGAAATTGGCAAGTGACAGAAAAGGTATCAAAGACACCTTAAACCAGATTCCTCCTTAACACAAAGGAAGGGACGGACTAGGAATGGAAGTGGGAGTATCTTTCTCATCACATGACTCAATGCTGTTTCTTGTATCAGTGTACACTTAGAAATCATTTTATGCTGAACCAGATCTATAAAAGTGGTGTGCAATAAAAATATATTATGGGATGTAACTGCAAGCCATACTGTAATTTAAAGTTTCCTGTCTGGGTACAGAGACTCACGCAGGCAATCTCAGCATTTTGGGCAGCCAAGGCAGGAGGATTGCTTGAGCCCAGGAGTTCAAGACCAGCTCAGGCAATATAGCAAGACCTAGTCTCTACCAAAACAAAAAGTAAGCCAGGGGTGGTGGTGCCCACCTGTAGTCCCAGCTATTCGGGAGCCTGAGGTGGAAGGACTGCCCAAGCCCAGGAGGTCGAGGTTGTGGAGAACTGTGATCGAGTCACTGCACTCCAGCCTGGGAGACAGAGTGAGATCCTAACTCAAAAAAAAAAGAAACAAAACCAAAAAAAACCCCCAAAAGTTTCCTAGTAGGCATGTTTAAAAGTACTTTTCAAAAAGGTAATTTTTATATAGTAATCTAATATATCCAAAGTATTATTTCAAACAACATAAAATATTAGTGAGATAGTCTATGCTTTTTTTAATAATACATTTTCAGAATCCGGAGTGTATTTCACACCAACAGCAGTCTTGCTTCAAGTCCTCAGAAACTACATGAGGCCAGAGGCACCTGTGTGGGGGAATGCGGCCCATGGGATCCTTTCCAGCAAAGCTAGGGCTCCTTTTCTTCTGGTGTTTCCTTTCTTTGCCTCAGCAATCTCTAAAGCCACAGTTCTCACCTTTCCTTCCTTCTCAACACACCAGATGTGGCTTCCTGCTCCCCAGGGCTCATGGAGGCCTCAGTCTGAGCTCTGGGTAGGAAAGGCCCCGGAGATGCAAGCCATCCTCAGAGCACCACCTACACCCCCACCTTGTTACAACCAGGAAGAGTGTTATTCTAGACCAACACTGAACCTGCTCTAGTTGATAAAATACACTTGAGTGAGGCCAGGCACAGTGGCACACACCTATAATCCCAGCACTTTGGGAGGCCGAGGTGAGAGGATTGCCTGAGCCCAGGGGTTCAAGATCAGCCTGGGCAACTTGGAGAGACCTCATCTCTACAATAAATCAAAAATTAGCCAGGCATGGTGGCGTGTACCTGCAGTTCCAGCTACTAGAAAGGCTGAGGCAGAAGGATCACCTGAACTCAGCAGGTCGAGGCTGCGGTGGCTGTGAGTGTGCCACTGCACTTCAGCCTGAGTGACAGAATGAGACTGACTCAAAACCAAAACAAAACACAAACCAAAAACCACTTGAGTAGACCCTATTATTTTCCTGCCCAGCATCTGTTCTCTCTTTTCCAGAACCCTTCGGAAGCCACATCTCCCCTACTCTTGCCAGTGTCATCTGGGTGGGGCTGACTGCAGCCCTAGCTGCAGAGGTGGGCATGTGACCCAGGCCCACGCTGATAAGCAAAATCCACCCCCCAGCCACAGAAGTGGGTCGAGAGATGTGGCCGATGATGGGATGATGGACAGGTCTAGAATCTCTATGGACAGCTAGAAAGGGAGATTCAGCCTTGGAGGGAGGTAAATCCTTGCTGCCTCCTGGGTGTATGCTGTGGGTCCTGCAAATACAGTTGACCCAGAGGAACACAGAGCCAGGAGAGGAGAATACGGTGTTGTCCTTTGAGCCCCAGATCTGGTCAGGCTGGATCTATTTTTGGTCAGCTGAACAATAAATTTCCCCTCATCATGCATTTGTGCATCTGCGGACATGGACTTAAGACACTGAGAACTGTTTCCTGTGAGTTACTTGCAACTGACAGAGTCCTAGCATACAAGTCAGTCATCTGCACCCTCATCTTGTGAGTGACAAATACTTGGGGCCCACCTCAGCGCTGACAGTGAGGCTTGTGGTTGAGAACTACTGTCCCAGAGCGGTTTGACTCCACAACGACACCAAGAGCACACAAAAAGCCACAATACACAGGCCTCACTCCTCTGCCGCCCCCACTCAATGCTGAGAACCAGAGTTGAGGGCTCTTCCTTCCCTGGGGTCGGACTCACTTTGGCACAGATGTGTCATCTTCCACGGGGCACCAGGCTGCTACCTCGCATGTCTTCACAGACTCATTAAAATTCACACATCTGCCCGTGGAGACACCTAAAGAAGGAAGAGGCAAGACTCCTAGGTTCATGAGGGTCTCCTACTTTCTGCCTTTGTGGGGTAGAAAGCGAGAGGCCCGGCCTGCATCCTGTCAGCTAGTCTTAAAATATTCCAAGAACGGCAACAGAATTGGAGGAAGGTCGTCACCTAAGTGCTGGTCACATTTTGGCCAGGGTGACGCCAAGCCACAGAACCTTACAAGATCTGGGATGGCCTTGGGTCACATGACGGAGGTGAATGTTAAGAGTGGGTCCCAGGGCCCCAGTCTCGACACCAGGCTCGCCCGGGGTCATGGGAAAGAGTTGGGGGAGTTCTTTACCCCCGAGATTTCTCTATAAGAGAATCTCCATAGGGGAGGTGGCCCTGTTGGATGCTGTCCTCCCCAGGTAGCCGCAAGCTTGTACCGTTGCTATGGGTGCCAGTGAAGCCAGCAGTGCAGTTGGCATCTGAATCACACACAGTGGTCTTATCTGGAATCTGGAAAAAGAAGACCGAGTGAGAACAAGTTCCATGTGGCCTGGCCCCACACCGTGGCCACAGGCGTGGAGAGGGGAGCAAAAGGCCAGAGGCTCTTTCCCAAGGTGCCGCCGCTGCCTACCTCAGGACAGGTGCCCTGCGTCTGGTTCATGGTGATGATCATGTTGGTCATGACGAAGAGGGAGTTTTCCCCCTGCAGAGCGGGCAGAAGGGAGAGAGCACTGTTGTGTCATCCTCAGAGGAGTCAGGCAGAGCCATCAAGAAAGTTAGATGTTGACCGGGCACGGTGGCTCATGCCTGTAATCCCAGCACTTTGGAAGGCCAAGGTGGGAGGATTGCTTGAGCCCAGGAGTTCGAGACCAGTCTGGGCAAGATAGTAAGACCTCGTCTTTACAAAAAAATCAAACTATTAGCAGGGCCTGTAGTCCCAGCTAGTTGGGAGGCTGAGGCAGAAGGACCACCTGAGCCCAGCAGATTGAGGCTGCGGTAAGCTGTGATTCAGCCTGAGTGACAGAGTGAGACCCCAACTCAAAAAAAAAAAAAGAAAAAGAAAAAGAAAAAAGAAAGTCAGATGTTTACTTAATAGGACAATTCAAAAAACTGATCTTATGGTTTCCCAAACTCTCCTCTGAGAGTTTATAACCTAGTAGAAAACAGGGACTCAAGCGAACACTTGCACACAAATGTTCACAGCCGCTCTCTTCACAATAGCCAAAAGGTGCATATGACTCAGATCTATCCATATAATGGAATATTACTCAGCCCTAAAAAGGAATGAAGGCTGACACATGCTGCAACATGATGAGCCTTGAAATCATGATACAATGTGAAAGAAACTAGACACAAAAGGCCACATAGTATCTAATTCCATGGATATGTCTAGAATAGGCAAATCCACAGAGACAGAGAGTAGCCAGTGGTTGCCAGGGGCTGGAGGGAGGGGAAGGAGCCATGGGGAGAGACTGTTTAATGGGCATGGGGTTTCCTTTTGGGTGATGAAAATGTTTTGGAACTAGACAGAGGTGAAGGTCGTACAACATTGTGTATGCACTAAATGCCACTGGATTTTTTTTTTTTTTTTGAGTTGGAGTCTCACTCTGTTGCCCAGACTGGAGTGCAATGGCATGCTCATGGCCACCGCAGCCTCAACCTACTAGGCTCAGGTGATCCTTTCACCTCAGCCGCCCAAGTAGCTGGAACTACAGCTGCATACCACCACGACCAGCTAATTTTTTTTATTTATTGTAGACATGGGGTCTTGCCAAGTTGGCTAGGCTGGTCTTGAATCCCTAGGCTCACATAATCCTCTCACCTTGGCCTCCCAAAGTGCTGAGATTATAGGTGTGAGCCAACACGCCCAGCCTGAACTTTTCATTTTAAAATGGTTAATTTCTGTTACATGAACTTTACCTCAGTTTAAAAAATGTCTACAACCTGAAATTATTCCTCAATAAAACTTGAGGGAAAAGAGCCAACATTTGCTCAAAACAGCCTCTGACAACCAGATGACCGCAGAGGTATAAAAACACGAGGCCTCAAAAGCCCCAGATTTGGCTGGTGTTCTTTCCTAACTGGAATTTATTTAATTTTATCTTTTGAGACAGGGTCTCACCCTGTCGCCCAGGCTGGAGTGCAGTGGCATGATCATGGTGATCACAGTTCATAGCAGCCTCGACCTCCTGGGATCAGGCGACCCTTCCACTTCAGCATACTAAGTAGCTGGGACTGCAGGCACACACCTGGCTAATTTTTAAAATTTTTTTGTAGAGATGAGGTTTCACTGTGTTGCCCAGGCTGGGCTCAAACTCCTGGGCTCAAGCAATGCACCTGTCTTGGCCTCCCAAAGTGCTGGGATTAGGTGTGAGCCAAAACACCCAGCCCCTAATTAGAATATAAAATAACTAACATTCTAGAGAAGACTCACTCAGAGTCAGCAAGTGACATTTCTCTCTTTGAGAAGGTTGTTTTCTCCTCATAGATATGAAAGTGCCAGATCACTGATTTAGAGTTTCTTGAAGGCAATTCACTAGGGGTGAGGCTGAAGAATTGCTAATAATGACCACTTAGTATAAGGAATCAAAGACAAAGACTCTGAAAGATTCTAGCTGGATTCCCCCCTGCCCTACCCAGTTGGGTACAGGCTATTTACTTTTAGAGACAAAGTCTCACTGTGTTATCCAGGCTGGTTTTGAACTTTTGGGCCTAAGCAATGCTTCTGCCTCAGCCTCCCCATAGCTAGGGCTCTACATGCCTGCCACTGTGCCAGGCTGGGCACTGCATTGTAAAAGGAGATGCCCAAAGCTTTTAGCATTTCAAACTCCTAGTAAGAATAGAGTCAGCGAAGCCGGGCTCGGTGGCTCAGCCTGTAATCCTGTGCCTTTGGGAGGCTGAGGTGAGTGGATTGCCTGAGCCCGCGGGTTCGAGACCCGCCTGGGCAACTTGGCGAGACCTCATCTCTACAATAAACAAAATGAACCAGGTGTGGTAGTGCGCACCTGTAGTTCCAGCTACTTGGAAGGCTGAGGCGGCAGGATCGCCAGAGCCCAGCAGGTCGAGGCTGCGGTGGCCGGGAGCGGCCACTGCGCTCCAGTCTGGGTGACAGAGTGAGACTCCAATTAAAAAAAAAAAAAAAAAGAATAGAGTTAGCAATGGGAGCCATCTCAGGGATCAAGGTAACTCAAGAACCAAAGGGTCTGCGGACATCCCCACCCCCAGGTCTGACAAGACGGTGGAAGCTCTAGGAATAGCTGGCATCTTCCAAGAAAAAGAAAAGAAGGCCTAGACAAACCATGCTGGGAGACAAGAAAATGGCTGTAAGAGTGAGCACAAGGATATGGCATGAGGCCAGAGGCCCTCTCCTGCCACCCTGTCATGTTCCCAGATGTTCAAAATACAAACACACTCCTCGTTGGGTGTTTATAAAGGCCACTCCTGAGACTCTCCTCAGTTGCATTTGAACAACTCAGTATGGTCTACTTTTTGTTCTTTCACTCTCTTTTTAGAAACAAGGTCTATGGCCAGGCGTGGTGACTCACGCCTGTAATCCCAGCACTTTGGGAGGCAGAGGTGAGAGGATTGCCTGAGCCCAGGGGTTCGAGACCAGCCTGGACAATTTGGCAAGACCTTGTCTCTACAATAAATAAAAAAAATAGGCCGGGCACAGTGGCTCATGCCTGTAATCCCAGCACTCTGGGAGGAGGAGATGAGAGGATTGTCTGAACCCAGAGGTTCCAGACCAGCTTGAGCAAGTTGGTGAGACCTCGTCTCTACAATAAATAAAAAAATTAGCCAGATGCAGTGGTGCATACCTATAGCTCTAGCTACTTGGAAAGCTGATGCAAGAGGATCACTTGAACCCAGCAGATAGAGGTTGCAGTGGCGGTGAGTGTGTCATTGCACTCCAGCTTGGGCAACAGAGTGAGACTCTCACTCCAAAAAAAGAAAGAAAGAAAGAAAGAAAAGAAACAGGGTCTTGCCCCATCTCCCAGGCTGAAGGGCAGTGGCACAAATCATAGCTCACTGCAGCCTCAGACCCCTGGGTTAAGTGATCCTGTTGCCTCAGTCTTCTGAGTAGCTGAGACTACAGGTGTGTATCACCACACCTGGCTATTTAAAAAAATTTTTTTTGGCCGGGCTTGGTGGCTCAGCCTATAATCCCAGTACTTTGGGAGGCTGAGGTGAGTGGATTGCCTGAGCCTGCGGGTTCGAAGACCCGCCTGGGCAACTTGGGGAGACCTCATCTCTACACTAAAGATCAAAAAATTAGCCAGGCATGGTAGCACGTGCCTGTAGTTCCAGCTACTTGTAAGGCTGAGGCGGAAGGATCGCCAGAGCCCAGCGGGTCGAGGCTGCGGTGGCCGGGAGTAGCCACTGCATTCTAGTCTGGGAGACAGAGTGAGACTCCAACTCAAAAAAAAAAATTTTTGTTTTGTAGACACAGGGGTCTCTCTATGTTGTTCAGGCTGGTCTCAAACTCCTGGGCTCCAGAGATCCTCCCACCTTGGCCTCACATAGTGCTAAGATTACAGGCATGTGCCATCATGCCCAAACTGTTTCCTATCTTTTCTTTATTTCAAATTTAGAAGAAATTCAGTCTGGAGATGAACCAACAGAGAAACACAAGGCTGGGCGTGATAGCTCAGACCTATAGTCCCAGCACTTTGGGAGGCCGAGGTGAGAGGATTGCCTGAGCCCATGGGTTCAAGACCAGCCTAGGCAACTTGGTGAGACCTTGTCTCTATAATAAATACAAAAAAATTAGCCAGGTGTGGTGGTGCATGCCTGTGGTTCCAGCTATTAGGGAGGCTGAGGAAAAAGGATTGCCTGAGCCCAGTAGGTCGAGGCTGCGGTGGTCATGAGTGTGCCACTGTTCTCCAGCCTGGGCAACAGAGTGAGACTCCAACTCAAAAAAAAAAGAACAGAGAAACACAAAAACATCATGAAAGCACATGAAAAAAGCCCTGTGAACTTACACAACCTCAGCCTCCCAGTCAGACCCATTGTGTAAGGCAGAGTTGCTGGGTGCTCCTTTCCAGAAAGGGGCAAAAGCAGGGCTCATACCCTTCTCCACAGGTCCAGAAAACATCTCATATGCAGAGCCACCAGGATGAGGCCACACCTTCACAGGAAGCAGCGGTCTCTTGCTGACACAGGCAGCTGCCACCTCCAGCCAGCTCTAAATCACCTGTCCCATTTGACCTTTACAATTCAGTAGCTGTCTCTTCTCAGGGCACTCCACAAGGCTCTTCCCTTGAGAAGGTAGGGGGAAAATGAACACCCATGAAGAAAGAGAGAGTTTCTGAAGTCCTTGCTTTTCCTGGCAAGAGCTCTGAGCCAAGAGTTGGCAGCTTATCTGTATTTGGTCACGCTGGGCCCCCTAGCATATAAGCCATCTGGAGGGGTATGTCAGGGTTTGGCAGTTGCCAGGGCTAAAGAGTCAGTATTTATCTTGGAGCTCTGCAGATTAACAGCCTGGAAACTAGGATGCCACAGCAAACAATTTCTTCCCTGACCTTTGTTCCTGACAGAATCCTGTGCTGGTATGTCTGTTTTCTTCTTGTTTGGGTTTGGGGTCTCTAATTGCTGTGAAAGTTTTTACACTGTCTGAAAAGATTTACCTTGTGGGTTTAAGACAATAAAGCAAAGCCAGCATGTGGAAAGATGATATTGCCACTTGAATTTCCTTAGGATTTAAGACATTTGTTTTCTTACCTTTCAGGGTTTGAGACAGACCAAATGTCCATCTCAAAGGTTTCCTGTGTTTCCACCAGCCACCTTTGAGAGCTGAAGAACTACATCTGACTATGACCTGGTAGAACTTTAACCAAAAAGAGATCCGGCTACTCCATTTTCTTGGACTAAAACAATCAGTCTGGGCATTGGTGATGTTAGAAATCTGGACACGCCAAACATTAATCAAGTATGCAAAGCCAGGAAAGAGAAAGGAGAATCAAGCTGGGCGCAGTGGCTCAAGTCTGTAATCCCAACACTTTGGGAGGCCAAGGCGAGAGGATTGCCTGAGCTTGGGGGTTCGAGACCAGCCTGGGCAATGTGGTAAGACCTTGTCTCTACAACAAATCAAGAAGCCGAGGTGAGAGGATTGCCTGAGCCCACTGGTTCGGGATCAGCCTAAGTGACTTGGCGAGACCTCATCTCTACAATAAATCCAAAAATTAGCTGAGCATGGTGGCATGTGCCTGTGCTTCCAGCTACTTGGAAGGCTGAGGCAGAAGGATCACCTGAGCCCAGCAGGTTGAGGCTGCAGTGGCCATGAGAGTGCCACTGCACTCCAGCCTGAGCGACAGAGTGAGACTCAGACTCAAAAAAAAAAAAAAGAAAAAAAGAGAGAGAAAGGAGCACATTAGAGGATTAGAGGTGTCAGTGTTAGACAGAAGTCACAGTGGGAGACACACCTGAGCTGGTATCACATAATCAGCCATATCCCAGATCCGGAATCCAAGTTTAGACGTGTTGGTCACAGTCACGCCCTTGACCTTGGTAGTCACTGAGCTGACCACGGAGTCCGTTTCCTGGTAGCCCTTTTCCCACACAAACACCCACCTATAAAATAAAACAGGCCACTTAAATTGCCATTAGGGTTCAGTGAATTTGAATTGAGGCTGGGGAGCCTCTGGCAACCAGAGGTTAAAAGTTTGAAGTTTACTAGTTCTGTGACTTTGCACGAGCTACTTAACTTCTGGGGGGCTCCATTTCCATTTCTGCAAAATGGGGATAACAGCATCTAAGCCACAAGGGGGTTAGTGGGAAAGAAATGAGATGCTGCAGGTGAAACTCTTAGCACCGTGACTGGCGCACATGCTCAATGAATGCTGTCTTTAGTCTTGTTTGAGCACTTTCAGTGTCCTGTGACCTGTGGGAATCACCAAGAGATAATAACAATTATAATAATAAGTGGCCATTTGAGTGTGTTTAGGCACCAGACACTGATCTGTATTAATTCTTTTTTTTTTTGAGTTGGAGTCTCACTGTGTTGCCCAGGCTGCAGTGCAGTGGCACGCTCACAGCCACCACAGTCTTGACCTGCTGGGCTCAGGCTATCCACTCACCTCAGCCTCCCAAAGTGCTGGGATTACAGGCTGAGCCACTGAGCCCGGCTTAATTTTTTGATTTATTGTAGAGATGAGGTCTCGCCAAGTCACCCAGGCTGATCCTGAACCCGTGGGCTCAGACAATCCTCTCACTTTGGCCTCCCAAAGTGCTGGGATTATAGGCTTGAGCCACCACGCCCGGGCTGTATTAACTCATTTAATACTGACCACTTTATGAAGCAGATATCATTATCTCCATTTTACAGATGAGGAAATGAAAACACAGAGAGATCAAGTCATTTGCCCAAGGTCACAAAGCTACTGAGTGATAGAGTCAGGATTTGAACTCAAGCCAGAAGTCTCTTATCTTACTATGTTCTGCTCTCTCTAGAACAAAAGAATCCTACCTTTGAAGTAATTTTTTTATTGTTTCTTACCTTTCCCCAAGAATTTAGGTCACATGTATGCTTCTCTCCTCTAAAGTGAAGACATTACTATCAGTCTGAATACTTAAAAATCTAAAGACACAAAAATTTAAAAAAAAGAAAGAAAAAAAAAATCTAAAGACATTAGTGCATGATGTTAGAGCACCAGGATACAGACTAGAGCCCGTGGGTCTCGGTTCATGGCTCAGCTGCACCACTCACTAGGTATAACTTGGGCCACACTGCTTTACCTCTTCATGTCTCAGTTTTTTCCATCCATAAGATGGGAATGATAATACAACTTCACAAGATTCTTATGAGGTTAAGTGGGTTAATGAATGTCTAATGCTTACAACAATGTTTGTGAGTCACCATTGGTAGGCTGAAATTGGCTATGGAAGGAGTATTTACACCATGGAAATAGTTCAGTCCTACAAATAAAAATGCCTCCCTGCCTGAGCAGTTGCTAAACAGGTATAGAAACTATTTTTGTTGTCATTATTTCTAGAATCAGAAAATGGTAAGTTCCATCCTCCCTCATAAATCCTAGATGCTGGGACTGCATAAAATTCACAGGTTTTGTCTACTTATTTGTGGGTTCGTCTGATCTGAGCAGTCCCCAAATACATTGTTCATCTTAGAGATGGGCTTTTCCCCTGACAAATCCTCTTCTTCAGGGCTCCAAGGAATTCAGCCGCAGTAGAAACTTCCATTTAATTACAGTCTGAAGCACAGAAGTTTAGGGTAGGAAGACCCATGTATTCACCAGGTACAGCGAGTTGCTTAATTTAGATACTGGCTTTACACCAGTCATTATCATGTGATTATTTCCTTATCATGTGACTGATAACAGAATTAGATAACTGGAAATTGTAGGTCCAGTATCTTTCTTTTTGAGGAAGGGCTGCTGCAGGTTACTATGGAAGAAGAGATCACTGTTTCACCAAGAGCTGAATCAGGAAGTTAAGAGATGAGTTTTTAAAAATTTTAAAGGTCAGGCTCAGTGGCTCAGCCTGTAATCCCAGCACTTTGGGAGGCTGAGGTGAGTGGATTGCCTGAACCCACAGGTTCAAGAACAGCACAGGCAATGAGTATGACCTTGTCTGTACAATAAATAAAAAATTAGCCGGGTGTGGTAGCACACACCTGTAGTTCCGGCTACTTGGAAGGCTGAGGCGGAAGGATAGCCAGTGCCCAACAGTTTGACGCTGGGGTACCCCGTGAGTGTGCCACTGCACTCCAGCCTAGATGACAGAGTGAGACTCCAACTCAAAAAAAAAAAAATTAATTGTTCCTAGCTGGGTGTGGTGGCTCATGCCTGGAATCCCAGCACTTTGGAAAATGGAGGCAAGAGGATTGCCTGAGCCCAGGGGTTCAAGACTGCTACACTCCAACCTGGCCTGGGCGACAGACTCTGACTCAAAAATGAAAAAGGAAATCCAGTATGTATTTCATAGTTATAGCTCATCTCATCTTGGAGTAGGAACAGTTAAAGTATAGTGACTAGCCACATGTGACAAGTGTCTACTGTACGGTACAACACAGCTATAGATATTTTCTGCAGAACTCCTGATCCCAAATGCTTAAGGTCTAATCAGGGATGTGAGCTCAGTTAACCAGCGAGCAGTGGGTCTCCGAATTTAAAGAGTGCATCACAGTCACTGTGAGGGGAGGAGTTGGTGGTGCTGGTACTACTTTACCCGTGAGACTTAGTCCAAATCTGGGTGTGGGCCAGGTGGTTTTGATGTGTCCACACTAGGAAAGCCATCTTCTTGAACACTATCAGTATCTATGGCAGCCACTGAGGGATGTTGGAAGCCAAACCTGCCTAGTCATGTGAATTTCCTTGGGCAGTGTTAACAGATTCCAAACATGGAGGATCTGTCACTTTTGCACAGTTCTTCAGATGAGTTCTCCATGACCAGGTAAGTTTGGGAAACACTAGGTCACTGGTTTCCAAACTTTGCAGACCATCAGAATCATCTGGGGAGTTGGCCATGCTCTTTAGCCGTTGAATTGGAAGGTCTGGAGACAAGTACCAGCAATCAGTAATTTTTAAAGATTCCCAAATGGTTCCAGGGGGCAGTTTGGGATCACTACATTAGGGCTTGTAAGAAAAGAAAACAGCCGGGCTTGGTGGCTCAGCCTGTAATCCCAGCACTTTGGGAGGCTGAGGTGAGTGGATTGCCTGCGCCCGCAGGTTCGAGACCCGCCTGGGCAACTTTGTGAGACCTCATCTCTACAATAAATCAGAAATTAGCCAGGCGTGGTAGCACACGCCTGTAGTTCCAGCTACTTGGAAGGCTGAGGCGGAAGGATCGCTGGAGCCCAGCAGGTCGAGGCTGCGGTGACCGGGAGCGGCCACTGCACTCCAGTCTGGGTGACAGAGTGAGACTCCAACCCAAAAAAAAAATCAGAGAAGAAAACAGGCCGGGCGTGATGGCTCAAGTCGTAATCCCAGCACTTGGGAGGTCAAAGCAAGAGGAATGCCTGAGCCCGCGGGTTCGAGACCCGCCTGGGCAACTTGGCGAGACCTCATCTCTACAATAAATCAAAAAATTAGCCAGGCGTGCTGGC